GTCTTAGGAAAGACGCCATTTTCATTTCTTCATCAAACGCCATTATAACTTCTTCAATTCTTCTGCAACGAATATATATGTCTTTTGATATTTCTATTTTTTTTTTTTGCTTTCGGTTTTATCTGATCTTGTATCTGTTTTTAGCTTCGGATTATGATTTTCTGTTTGGTTTAAATGTTTTAAAAGATAACGACATGGAGACATTATATATCCTATCGCCATTATTTAAATTTCCAAATTTATCCCTCGTACTTAATGACCCTTTGTATTTCTCTAAGGGATTTATGTAATTATGTGTGCAGTGTGAAACGTTTGATCACATAAATTATTTATGTCATCGGGAGAAAAAAAAAAGTGTAATATAAGATTATTTAGTAAACTCAAGAATATATAACTTGATATTTTCAAAAGATATAACTTTTTTTAAGGCGATGAATGTACGAAAACGATGGCATATTATATATAGTTGAAATATCTCGTTTTTAAGTGATATATATGAATTGAATGGTTGGTATATGTGATAACTATGTTATACAGTATTGTACAGGTCAAACAAAAAAATTTGTGGTAATAAATGCTTTGTAGCTTGTTTATGTGAAGCTATAATTTTCTTATGCCACTTTTCTTTGCCTATGAGAAATAGTCGTATCTAGATTTCATCGAACAAAAATGTTTCAAAATTTTCCCATTTTCTGCAGTTAATCTATATTTTCTCTCCAACGTAAATATGTATTGGTAATTTGGTACGTATATAAGTATATTTACCGAATGCAGGAAATTATTTTGAACACTATGCAAAATCATCGTAAGTAACAATGTAACGCTAATTTCTACGTGCCAGTCATCGCTCGTGCACAGAGACTGCGAGGATAATCTTGTAATTTAATCATCTAAGGGATATCCTGTATCCGTTTGGGTGGGAACTTCAAGATTAGCAATAAATTCAATAATTAAATTAAAACAGCATTAGAACTCGTCTCTGCTGAAGTGAGCTTGACCAGCTTCTACGTAAACCAACCGTCTTCTGACACGTAAACATATTGGCAAGAGAGAGGACAAGACCAGTCTGCACGACGAGGCTGTCCAAAACAAAACCCTAATTTATTTGTATTTTATTTTTCTTGAACGATTTGATGAGAACTTTGGTTTTTGTCTTTTCGAATTGTAATTAAGGAATTTAGTTCGGAATATAAGGGAGTTGGTTTGTACATAAAGTCGAATTTAATCATACAACAAATTAAAGCTAAATTAAATGTTCGTTGAGATAATTCCTTTTTTTTCATACCGAGAATTGTATACAAATATATACACGTTACGTTAATTTTTTAATAATGGGATGCTGCAATGATAACACATGTCATGTATTTTGTTTAAAATACTTTATATATTTACGAATATTGATAAAGTAAGGAGCTAGGTTTCTTTTTTTGCAAGAAAGAGTTCTTTTAATCATGATCGAGTGATATCGACATACAGAACTGAGCGAAAGGTAAAAAGGCTTTGCTTGATTTTTTCTTTTTTCTGTGTTTATTTTATGTTAAAGAGGTTTCTTCTTTACTGAAAATAGCTTGAGGACTTTTTTTTATATTGTAAAATCCGACTTTTTGCGGTTTGTGAGGGCAAATGGACGGCTTGGATTAGGTCTTCCACACGTGTCATTACACAAAATAATGATCGATTCTAGTGGAATCGCACGTGCTGCTGTCCAGACAAACAAATTATTTTCTTCTAGTATTCAAAATTATATATTTTATAGGTTCTGAATTTCTGATAGTAATTTCTTGGTTGATTCCGGTTTAAATAGTAACTTCACTAATAACAAAATAAATTATGAAATTATCCATCGTTGCATTGCATGTTTTAAACCACTACACTACATACCATTATAAGAAACAACCATTAGATTAAATTGTTTTTAACTCTTTTTAAATTATTTTTTAGAACTATATGAACTTCATTTGGATTGAAATGAAAATTATATATTTACCTTTAACTAAAATATGGTGGAAGCTAGTGATCATGCCAAATATATGGGTTTTAAAAGCATCCAAAATGCTTAAGTCTCAACAAAGCATTTCCTTCTTTCTTTACTTAATTAATTCATAGAATGGTTACTCGTGAGAAACAATATATGTTGCAATATGCAAAGAATGTTATCATTTGAATATTTAATAATAAAAAGTAATAGTAGGTGAGACCGACCCAAATCAAATTTATATGGAAGGCAAACCAATCAATGCATCCCACGAGGGCATTGAGATTTAGTTTTAGAAGACAAAGACAGATTGACGGCCATTGATAATATTATTAGTAAACTATGCATTTGAAAATGATATTTAAAGTATATAACACTATTTCGCCGGTTTTCTAAATTAGTATAAAAGGGTAAAAAAAATTGGAGAAATATATAGGGGTTTTCTCATGAAATTACGAAGAGTAATATTAAACTAATCTTGCACACACACGAAATAAAAAGTAAAAATAATTTACTACTACAAACCGGTAATGATATAAAAGGTATATGTTTGAGTAAAAAAAAAAAAACCACTAGAGCATACAAAAAATATTATAATAGTCTTAATGTCTTTATGTTGTACATTATTTTGTGAACTCTCCCAAGAAATACAAAATCTTTGAAAAAGCCAAAGAGAGAAAAAAAACTTATTGGGTTTATATAATCTTAATTAAATGTTATTGAGAACTGATTGGGTTCATAATCTCTTAATTAAAAGGCCCAATTATAATATTTATTGGGCTTCCGTGAACCAGCTTTCGCATATTTTTTACCAAAACAAACAAACAAACATCGTTCGTCGTCAACCCAAAAGAAAATATGAAAAAAATCGCAGTAATTAGTTTTGAATTTTTAAAAGAAGATCAAGGATATATATGATACGGAAGCAAATGATAATATTTTGCTCCAGTTCAGTATTGATGATCAGTATAAAGAATTCAGTTATGAAGACAATGTCATTCTTAAATATAAGCGTAACATTACGAAAAAAACATGCTTTTAACTGAATTATGAAGCAGGTATTGTTTTGAAGCATTTCGCTATATTTGAACATTATCTACCACAAACATAAATGGATGTTGTTGTGAATCTTTAGTTTATTACATACACACGTTGTGCAGCTTTAGTTTAATGTTCATTGAAATGCTAGAGTAAACAACTAATAACTAGTGAACAACTGAAAGTGAACAAAAAAAGCAAAGAACTTGACCAAATGCTAGAGTAACTAGTTGAAACTAAAAGAAACCGGATTAAAAAAAACTAATATTTATTTCAATATTTTTAACTGGAAAAAGACAACTACAAGTAAAAAACTGTTCCTTAAGTTCATTGAAATTGAAACTAAAATTAAAGTGAGTAAAAGATAAAGTAATAAAGTTGTCCCTATATAAAGATACACTAGCCTTTTTTTAGAAGCTTCACCTAAAAAAATATGGTACAATAGTTAATCGAATAAATGCTTTGTCTATCAATATATAAAATAGGCAATTACAAAAATAC